CATGGACGGCGAGGTCCCGCTCAGATCCCCGCGGTGCCTCACTCCGCAGGGCCCACCAGCAGCTCTCGAAGGTGGCGACGGTGTCGCAGATCGCAGCCCCCCCAGGGACGGCGAGGGCCCGCTCAGATCCCCGCGGTGCCTCACTCCGCAGGACCCGCCAACAGCCCTCGAAAGTGGCGACGGTGTGGCAGATCGCAGCCCCCCAGGGACGGCGAGGTCCCGCTCAGATCCCCGCGGTGCCTCATTCCGCAGCATCCACCAGCAGCCCTCGAAAGTGGCGATGGTGTCGCAAATCGCAGCCCCCCAGGGACGGCGAGGTCCGCACAAAGCAAGAGGAGAGGGAGACGGGAGGCGGGAGGAGGGAGGCGGGAGGAGGGAGGCGGGAGGAGGAGTCGAGAGGAGGAGGAGGAGGAGAAGGAGGAGGAGGAGGAGGAGAATGACTGGAGACCGCAGTGATCTATTCAAAACGAATACCCAACCAAGGAGGGTTGGTAAGACCGAATACCCAACCCTGGAGGGTTGGAAACAAAAAGTACTACGACTGCTGATGCTACCACTGCGGCTCGTCGTCGTCGTCGTCATCGTCGTAGTTGTCGATGTCGCACTCATCGTCGTCGTACTCGTCGTACTCGTCGTATTTGTCGTCGTACTCATCGTCGTCGTTGTCGATGTCGCATTCATCGTCGTCGTCGTCGTCGTCGTCGTCGTCGTACTCGTCGTTGTACTCGTCGTCGTACCTCGTCGCCGTACTCGTCATCGTACTCGTTTTCAAGCTCGTCGTCGTGCTCGTCGTCGTTGTCGTACTCGTGCTCGTACCCGTCGTCGTCGTTGTACTCATCGTACTCGTTGTCGTACTCGTCAGCGTAGTCGTCGGCGTACTCGTCGTACTCGTCGTCGTGTCCCCGTCGTCTTTGTACTCGTCGTGCTCGTCGTACCCGTCGGCTACCATTTCTATCCGTGAGGGCTTCGCCCCCTGCCGCCGGCCCCCTCTTTCGGAGAATGGGCCATGGAAGAGCGAAGTCATGAGGCTTTGGCTTTGCCGTGAAGCAGTGTCGGGACCTATTTGTTTTTCGACCCTGACCCTGCCGATCTGCGTGAGGGGTGCCGCCGAATTTCAGACATGTGGAAAATCCCATGTGTTTTTGGACTCTGACCCCGCCGATCTGCGTGAGGGGTGCCACCGAAGTTCAGAAATGTGACAACTCATTTGTGTTTTTGGACCCTGACCCCGCCGATCTGTGTGAGGGGTGCCACCGACTTTCAGACATGTGGAAAATCCCATGTGTTCTTGGACCCTGACCCCGCCGATCTGCGTGAGGGGTGCCACCGAATTTCAGAAATTTAGCAAATTCCAACTGTTTGTGGACCCTGACCCCGCCGTTCTGCGTGAGGGGTGCCAGGAAATTGCAGAAATGTGGTAAATCCCTTGTGTTTTTGGACCCTGACCCCGCCGATCTGCGTGAGGGATGTTTGGAAATTTCAAAAATGCTGCAAATTCCACATGTTTTTGGACCCTGACCCCGCCGATCTGCGTGAGGGGTGCCACCGAATTTCAGAAATGTGGCAAATCCTTTGTGTTTTTGGACCCTGACCCCGCCGATCTGCGTAAGGGGTGTCAATTTTTGCCCCCCCATGAATTCTGAGAACCCTCCTGGGGGACGCTAACTAAGGTGGTTTTCGGCTCCCCCCCTCGCGCGGACAGTAACAATTTACAGTAGGAAGCAGAAAGCAGTACTGTAACAATGGAAACTGGAAACTGGAACTGGTGCAGGGAGCAGCAAGCCTAACCCTCGCAGACTGATGGCCCCGCAACGGGGCCGGCGGATTTCTGCTACAACCGGGCATCGTGGCTTCATCGTTGCCTCGTTGACGCGGCAATTTATCATACCTGACTAGAAGCGTCCGAGGCCACCAGTCGGAAAGCTGTTGCTGGTATGCATTTAATGCGCTGCGTGCCGCCAGCCCCATGCACAACGATATATGATCGCGGGCTCCGGGCCCACGGGCCCCCCCCACCCAGATGGGATGGGTCCCAGGGTCCTCGGGCCACCCCCCACCCCAGATGGGATTGGGGGGGGGGAGGAGGAGGAGGAGGAGGAGGAGGAGGAGGAGGAGGAGGAGGAGGAGGAGGAGGAGGAGGAGGAGGAGGAGGAGGCAGAAGAAGAAGAAGAAGAAGAAGAGAAGAGGAAGAGGAGGAGGAGGAGGACGACGACGACGACGACGACGACGACGACGACGACGACGACGACGACGACGACGACGACGACGACGACGACGACGACGACGACGACGACGACGACGACGACGACGACACCGACACCGACACCGACACCGACACCGACACCGACACCGACACCGACACGGACGACGACGACACCGACGACGACGACAACGACGACGACGTCGACGGCACCACCAGCGGCGGCGGCGACGACGTCGAGCACCGGAGCTGTCAACATGACGCCCATTCCAGCCACACGCCGCACCCACACCGCACCCACAGGGGGGGAGGGAGGGGGGGAGGAGGACCATGGCGTCACCCCGCGCACACCCACAGCAACACACCACACCCACACCACATGCACAGGGAGGGAGGGGGGCACAGGGAGGGAGGGGGGGGAGCCACCACGCCACGCCCACGCCCACAGGGGCGGGGGGGGGGCATCGCGCGGGGGGGGGGGCGATGGCATTAGCATGGGGGGGGGCCCAAACCCTCGACCATATATCCACGCTAACCGTCTAGGTTAATCTCGGCGCCCATCTCGAGCATTGACTTTTTGAGCTGCTCGCGCGGAGGGGGCAGCGGGGACATGGCACATTTCGACGACATGAAGTGAATTGTGCTTTCGACGTGGAATCACAGGCGCGAGCACGCCTGCGTGCAAAACCGGACGGTCTCAGCCAGCATGTGCCAAGGTAGCTACAGTTGGATAGCGGCCGCGGTGAGGGACCACCCCTCCGCACCCCCATACTGAGCCGAGAAAATGCCATGCCTACTACGCCCAGACGACCGTCACGGATAGCGGCCGCGGTGAGGGACCACCTTTTCCATACCCCCTACGGAGTCGAGAACATGCCACGCCTGCTTCGCCCAGACGACAATATTGCGGCCGCGGTGAGGGACCACCTTTTACGCTACCTTCATATGGGGTCGAGAAAATGCCACGCTGTGTGTAAAGGTGCTGTTTGTGTGCTGTGTGTATGTGTGCGGTCCGCGTCTTTGTGTCTTGCGTATGTGTCTCATGCGTGCACGGTTGTATACGTGTGTCTCATGCGGGCGACGTGCTGCGTCAGACAGCATGTTCGTTTGTGTATTGTGCGCACGCGAGTGAAGGTGAGAATGAGAAGGAGAGGGGGGAGGTGTGGGCGTCGCGGGTGGGACGCGGCGGAGAAGATCAACGCCTCCAAGAGGCTCCCGAGGCGCACAGTCGGCTGGATATTTAGGGAGGCCTCTTCGAGCACGTCGGGCCGACAACAACAACGATGATTCTAGTGATGATGAGTATGATGATGGGTACGACGATGACAGTGACGATGTGCACGATTGGCGTAGCGGTGTTGATGAAGCTGGTGATGGGATCGGTAATGGAGATGATAATTCGGATGATGATGAGGGTGATGATAAGGATGATGTTGATGATCTGGTTGAGGATGAGGCTGATGATAATGGCGATGATCATTATGCTGCGCGAGTTTGACGTGTCAGCATGGCTTGCAGCACTGAGCCAAGGATGCTCTAAATTATGTTGCTGTTGTTGTTAATGATGGTGATGGAGAGTATGATGATGACGATGATGATGATGATGATGCTGATGATGGTGATGATGATGATGATGATGGTGATTGTGATGGTGATGATGCTGCTGCTGCTGATGATGATGATGATACTGATGATGTTGATGCTCATGCTGCTCATGATGCTGCTGATGATGATGCTTACTATTAGGATTTTGATACCGATGACTTGGATAATGATGAGTATGATGATGAGGTCAGGAATGAGGATAAGGGTGAGGCTGGGTACGACTATGTCACACGCTTGTGCGTGATAGCGCTGTCCAAGCTCTTTCAGCGTCCCGCCTGGCCCTAGCGATGTATACATACGTCTGTACTCGTGTACACATTTGCGTATGCTTAGTTGTACAGGTACATACATTCGAAGAAACATTACAGAAAAATTGAAGAGCCTCTTTGATAGAATTGCAGACAATTGCAGAACAATTGTAGAACAATTACAGAACTTTTGCTTTGCTTAGCCTCTTTGAAGAACAATTGCCGGCTAATTCAGCAGCCCCCTCCGCCCACATCCGAAGTCGGCCCTGGGAGGGAGCCGCTGCCGCTCTGGGGGCTTCGACGCAACATCGGACGGGGGAGCGGGGGTCGCTCCGCAGCGAGAAGGTGACCCCGTGACCACGCAGTCCCATGGAGACTCCCCAGACCCCCTCGAGTAATGAAAAAATCATGACGGGAGGTTTTTTCCTACTTTTCGGCCTCCGGGGGCCCTCACCGGGCCTCGGGAGCGTCAGAAAACGACTCAGGCTGCAAAGCCGGTCATGGGGAAAGGGTCGGGACCACTGGGGGTCGACGTAATGAAAAAATCATTACGTCGGGGGTCTGGGTCCGAAGCGTTCTTGGAAACCCACGGCCACCTTGGTCAGGTTTCTCTTCAGTTTTGTGGTCCGGGGAGCTGCCTGAGAGCTGGAAAGGTACCGATACTGTGCTCCCTGGAGTAGGCCGGGAGGGGGGGCCGGACCGCGGCCCCGGGTTGCCATGGGGGCCCCGCTGTGGGTCCAGTGAGCTCCCAGAATGCTGAAAACGCCCCCCAATGGCCCAAGACCGTCCAACATTGCGTCTGTGGCGCTCTGGCGCCACCCGAGACGCCACCAAATGGTCTGAAGGCGCGCCAAGAGGCCTCCAAGGAGCACCCCCTCAGGGTCCGTAGCCATTTTGGCTTAAGGTATTTACAATGTGGCTCAAGCCGCGGTGCCGTGTCTTCTCGGATGCTGGGCATCGGCCGAGGGTCTCGAGAAGGCGTTATTTCCCTCGAAGCGTCGATCAAAATTTGCGTTCGGACAAAACAATGGAGCGTAGCACTGCGGTTGCTCCGCGAAGGACTTCGATTAGGTGTGCAACTTGTCCCAGGCCACTACATTGCGACTGCCAGCGCATGCAGAAAAGGCGGGCAATGGCAACACGCGCTTTCAGTGCTCAGTGACATGTGGAAAGCGAAGCTGGAGCCCAACGTCATCAGCTACAGCGCTGGGATCAGCGCGTGCGAGAAGGGCGGGCAGTGGCAGCGGGCGCTTGCGCTGCTGAGCGAGATGTGGGAGGCGAAGCTGGAGCCCGATACTACAATTCCGGGCGAAGCGCGCGCGAGAAGTACAAGCAGTGGCAGCGCCCCGGGCCGCCCAGAGAGCTCGCGGGCCGCCCGGAGAGCCTCCAGGCCGCTTCCCGACGGGCCCGGGAGGCCCCCGGACCGCTCGCGGACTGATCCAGGATTCCCAGATCGCCCCAAGACGGCCTCAGGAGGTCCCGAAGACGGCCCAAGACGGTCTAAGAGTGTATCCGAGACGCTTGCGATCAAGAGAGGCCCCAGACAGGGACCCGGAACCGAAAAATTTAGGCCTCCACCCCAAGAGGCCCCCAGGAAGCCCCAAGACGCCCCAAAGAAACGCCGGGACGCTCCCAAGACATCCCCAGGAGGCCCCAGGACGCCCCAAAGAGGCTCCAAGAGGCCACCCAGAGGCCGCCAAGCGCCCCAAAAGACCCCCAAGAGGCCCCAAAAGAGGGCCCAAGAGGCCCCAAGACGCCCCCAAACTGCTACCACGAAGCCCCCAAACTGTCTCCCAGAGGCTCCCGAGAGGCCTGCCATGAGATCCCAACCATCATCCACGAGATCTCTTACCCATTACCGAGGCCCGCAGCGACATTGCCCGCAGGCCACTACAGCCAGTTCGGGGGCCCTACGTATACCAGCACCCGCACCCTTGGCTGCATCGGGGGCCTCACCGCTGCTCTCTCGGTTCTGCTGGCTTCGATCTGCCAGAGCTCTCGAGACGGCCATCTCGACGGCCCGAGAACCCCGAGATGGCCCCAGGACCACCCTGCGCGGGCCCGCTGACGTGGCCCCTTCACTCTGACGGTGCCTGAAAACCCTTGAGTTTGCTGATCGCGCCCAGTCCCAGCGCGATTAGCAAAAACCCATTCCTTTTCTCGCTTCCAGGTCAGTGGCCCGGGGCTCCCCGACTGCTTTCTGAGATCGCCCCTGGACGTGGCCCCTTACACGTCGGCCCCACGCGCGGCCTCCAAACGGGACCCCCAAAGGCGGCCCCCACACAAAGCCTCCGAAGGTCGCCCCTACCGCCCCAGTAAGCGTGGCCCCCGAACGTCAACCCCAAGCGTAGCCCCCAGGCGCCCCCAAATGTGGCCCCAACACACACACAGCCCCCAACCATTGCCCTCAAACGTGACCGTCACATCTGCCCCCGAACCCCACACCCTCAAACGCGACCGTCACATGTGCCCCCGAACCCCGCACGCGGCCCTCAAACATGGCCCCCGGCAGGGCCGCGAACGTCGGCCCCAACCATGACACCCTGACGAGACCCCCCAACGTGGCCCTCAAACGAGGCCCCCCAACGTAGCGCCCAACTCTGGCCCCCACGCGTCCACCCCCCACATCGAGCTTCTCGCGCACAGGGACTCTGTACGATCGTTCGGGCCCCCTTACTCTGATTGCGTCTGAAAACCTATGTGTTTCTGCTAATCGCGCCCAGGCCTCGCGCGATTAGCAAAAACACATTACTTTTGACGCTTCCAGTGCTTCCGACACGTGCGCGTTCGGGACCAATGCCTGGACCTGCGGGCCGTGGATTTTCCACGGGTTCACACTAGTCTGTACTACAATTCCGGGCGAAGCGCGCGCGAGAAGTACAAGCAGTGGCAGCGCCCCGGGCCGCCCAGAGAGCTCGCGGGCCGCCCGGAGAGCCTCCGGGCCGTTGCCCGACGGGCCCGGGAGTCCCCCGGACCGCTCGCGGATTGATCCAGGATTCCCACATCGCCCCAAGACGGCCTCAGGAGGTCCCGAAGACGGCCCACGACGGTCTAAGAGTGTATCCGAGACGCTTACGATGGCTTCAAGACGCCTTCAAGACGGCCCGAGACGCCTCCACGAGGCCCCCACAGCGCTCGAAGTGTACCTCCAAGAGGGGCCGCAGAAGCCAAAATCGTTGATTTTCTATGTTTTTTTTCAATGTTTCTGGCCTTCTCGCTTTTTCAGCTGTCCGACGCTCCACTGCCGCTCAAGTCGCCCAAGACGGCCCAAGAGGGCCCCAAGAAGGCCCCAAGAGAGGCCCAAGACAGGGACCCGGAACCGAAAAATCGAGGCCTCCACCCCAAGAGGGCCTCAGGAAACCCAAGACGCCCAAAGAAACGCCGCGACGCTCCCAAGACTTCCCCAGGACGCCCCCAGACGCCCCAAAGAGGCTCCAAGAGGCCCCCCAGAGGCCGCCAAGCGCCCCAAAAGGCTCCCCAGAGGCCCCAAAAGAGGACCCAAGAGGCCCCAAGACGCCTCCAAACTGTGTTGGGCGCCTCCATCTGGAAACTCAGATCGTCTTGGGCGGTGTCCAATGCCTTGGGATACGTGTGGGGGCCAATCCTGGCGCAGTGGAATGGCCAGAACCTTCGGATTTTCGCTAATCGCGGAGAGGCCGGGCGCGATTAGCGAAAACCCGATGCTTTTTGAGACCTCCACGCCCGGCCTTAATCGGTTACGATAGCCCTCTTGGGTCGGGCGCCTCGTGGGGCGGCTTGGGGCAATCTTGGGGGTGTGAGGCCGTCTCGGACCTCGCGTTGGGCTCCCGTGAGCGGCATCTGCGGCTGTGCTGGGCCCTGCTGGGGGTCACTTGAGGCTTCGGCGACACGTGCGAGTTCGGGACCAACGCCTGGACCTGCGGGCCGTGGATTTTCCACGGGTTCAGCCCTAGTCAGCTACAACGCTGGGATCAGCGCGTGCGAGAAGGGCGAGCAGTGGCAGCCGGCGCTTGCGCTGCTGAGCGAGATGCGGGAGGCGAAGCTGGAGCCCAACGTCATCTCTACTACATTGCAGGGCCCAGTGCGTACCAGAAGGGCGCAGGATCAAGTGACCAATAATCGCCCCGGGCTGGCCCCGGGCCGCCCCGGGAGGCCCCAAGACACGCCAAGGGGGCCCCAAGAGGCCCCCAAGACGGCCCCGGAGGGCCCCGGCACGCTTCAAGATGGGCCCAAGACGCCCGAGATTCGCCCCAGGCGGCCCAAGAGGCGTCCAAGACGCCCGAAGAGGCCTCCCAAGAGGCCTCCCAAGAGGGTCCCGAGCGACAGAAATCGTCGATTTCTAGTGTGTTTTTCTATGTTTTCGGCCTCCTCGCCTCGTCGGCTTCCCGACGCTCCAAGACGGCCCAAGAAGCCCCCCCGACCGCTCCAAGACGGCCGAAGAGGACCCCAAGAGAGCCCCAAGACGGGCCAGGAGGGCCCCCAGACGGTCCCAAGACGCCCCAGGACGGCCCCAGGACGGCCCAGGAGGCGCCCAAGACGGCCCAAGAGGCACCCAAGACGACCCCAGGAGCGGCCCAAGACGGCCCACGACAGCCCAAGAGGCGCCGAGGCGGGTCTCAGACGGCCCCAAGACGGCCCAAGAGGCACCCAAGACGGCCCGAGAGGGCCCTAAGAGCCCCCCCGGGAGGCCCAAACGAAGGCCGAAGAGGCTCCGAAACGGCCCCCACGAAGCCTTCAGTGCCTTCAGAATTCCCTCCAGGAGCGGGGGAGCGGACGAGAGGCGACAGGCATATCGCAAGCAAAAACGCCCCAAGAGATCCCCAAACGGCCCCCACGAAGCCCTAAGTGGCCTCAGAATTGCTTCCAGGAGGGGGGGAGCGGACGAGAGGCGACCGGCATATCGAAGGCACAGAAGAACAATGTTGGACGCTCCGAGGGCCTTCGATGTTTCTCCGTTGGGGAGAGTCGTCGTAGGATCGACGATTGCCGACCGAGGGCAGCGAATCCAGTGGAGGCCCAAGAGGCCCCCAGGAGCCCAAAAGAGATCCCCAAGAGGTGCCACGGGGCTTAAAAACTGCTTCGAAGCGAGGGGGGCGGACGAGGGGACCGCCTCAGGAGGTTTTGGACGGTTTTGGGCCTCAAAATCGTCCGCTTTACGACGGTTTTGGAAGGATTTTGGCCTTCTCGCCTTTTCCGCTTTCCGACGCTCGAAGACGGCCCAAGAGGCCTCCAAGAGCGCCCCAGAACGGCCCAAGAGGTTTCCAAGAGCGCCCCAAGACAGCCCAAGAGGGCCCCAAGACGACCCAAGAGACGCTCAAGACGGCCCACGAGGGCCCGAAGACAGGCCCAAGAGGGGGCCAAGAGGGGGACCACGGACCGAAAATCCGAGCCTTCCGCCCCAAGAGGGCGCCAGGAGGCCCAAACAGGCCCCCAAGAGGCCCCAAGGGGCCGCCAAGAATCCCCCGAAGAGGCCCCAGGAGGCTCCCAAGGAGCCCAAACGAGGCCCCTACAGAGGCCCCAACAGCTTCCAAAATGGCCCCGAAGAGGCCTCGAGCCCGCCTCCGAGCTTCCTCGCCGCGAGGGTGCCAACACGGCCCCAGACCGGCCCAGGACGGCCCAAGGCGCGCTCAAGACGGCCCAAGACGATTCCAAGACGGTCCCAGGAGGGTGCGCCCAGGACGGCCCAAGGACGCGCCCGTTCGGGGCCTCAAGACGGGCCAAGATGGCAAGAGAGTCCCAGCTGGCAAAAATCGTTAATTTTCCATTGTTTACTGTTACACCCTTTGCGTTTCCCGCCGTTTCGGCGGTCCGATGCACCAAGAGGCCCCAGAAAGTCCCAGGAGGGTCCGAGGAACCGCCCAGGAAGGCCCCAAGACGGGCCAAGACGGACCCAGCACAACCCAAGGCGCGCTGCGACGGCTCAAGACGGCTCCAAGACAGCCCCAAGAGGGTGCCAACACGGCCCCTGCTGGGCCCAGGACGGCCCAAGGAGGCGCACAGGAGGGGCCCAAGACGACTCCAAGGCGGCCTCCTCACGGTCCCAGACGGCTCCAAGACAGCCCCACGAGGACCCCGATGGGCCCAGGACGGCCTACGGACGCGCCCATGAGGGGCCCACGACGAACCAAGACGGCCCCATCAGGGCAAACGGCGCCCTCAAGACGGGCCTAGACGGCTCCAAGACGGCCCTTTGAGGGAGCCAACGCGGCCCCACACCCTTCGGGCGCACACTTGGGGGGGCTGGGAGCTTGCGACAAGTCTCCCACATTCATTGTCCTGCCCCATTCTGTTCGCCTGGAGGCCTCCTCCAACCCTGTGGGCGAACAAGA